CCGCCCGCCCGCTAGCCCGCGCGCGCCGCGCGCCGCTGCGCGCGAGAGAGCACCTAGCTCGCACGCACGCACGCACGCACGCACGCACGCACGCACGTACGTACACCCACGCTCGCACGCACGCACGCACGCGCGCAAGCACGCACGCACGCACGTACAGCCACCCACCCTGCACCCACCAATACATTGTTCATATATTTTAATAAATTCAATTGAAGTGTAGTTTGATTACCCGCCCACCCACCCACCTACCCACGCACGCACGCACACACGCACGCACACACGCAAAATTAGCGCGCAGGCGCACGTGCACCCACGCACCCACACCTGCACGCGCCTGCTCACGCGCGCGCGCGCGCGCGCGCGCGCGCGCGCGCGCTCGCGCGCGTGGCGTGCACTCGTGCGCAGGAGCGCGCATGCGCTCGCACGCCGACGCCGGCACATGCACACGCACACGTACGCGTACATGCACACGCACACATGCACCCCCACACCCACACCCACGCATGCACACGCACGCACACACACACACACACACACACACACACACACACACACACACACACACACCACACCCACACACACACACACACACACACCCCCACCCCCACCCCAACGCGCCACGCCCCGCCCACGCCACGCCCACGCCCACGCCCACACGCCCCCGCCCACGCCCACGCCCACGCCACGCCCACGCCCACCCCCACGCCCACGCCCCCACGCCCACGCCCACGCCCCACGCCCACGCCACCCACGCCCACGCCCACACCCACACCCCACACCCCACCCAACCCACCCCCCACCAGCCCACCCACCCACCCACGCACGCACGCACGCACGCACACACACGCACGCACAGACCCACGCACGCAAACACGCAAACACGCACGCAAACACGCACGCAAACACGCACGCAAACACGCACGCAAACACGCACGCAAACACGCACGCAAACACGCACGCATACGTACACACACACACACACACACATACACAGAAAACTGCCCCCAGTAGCGCGATCCCAACAGTTGCTCCAACAAGCTCCAACGGCTGACGGCCAATGTCTCAAGCACACAAAAACACACCGTCGACCCCCAAAGTGGTGCCTAATAAAGACCGTTTAGTATTTCGGGTTTGGGGTTCCCTCAATCCATGACATGAGCCTTCAAACCCTCGAGTAAGGTCTCCCGACCAGATCCAGCTTTACCCTTCATTTGTGGCTTGCTGCGTGATTGAGTGCGTCAGGGTTTGCCCATCCAACTTGTAGGTGTTTAGGGATTTCGAGTTCTATGGGAGGATGGTTATGTCAGGGTTTTCGGAGTTTTATTTGGGGGGGGGGACCGCGGTTCAGGGGCGGTTCCGGGAACGGAGGCCAGGTGGTTGGGAGTTTGGGCTCGGACGTTGGGGTGGATGTGGCGAGCGTGTGATGCTGAGGCACACATGGTTTGGGGTTTCGCGTTTGATGGGGTTTTCGGTTGGAAGTGAGAGATCAGCAAATGCATCCTGGAGACCACCCACGCGCACACCACAAAGAATCGGACAAGCGCTTCCCTATAATGTCTATAGAGAGCAGTCACAAGACAAACCCTCATCGCAAGTGTCTGAAGGCGCCCAACATTCCCCAGGAACCTTCCGGCAATCTTCCCCGAAAGCCCTTGCAGCCCCCCCAAAGCCAGCACTTGACACATCTTGACACCCCTGGCCAGCAAGCCCACGGGCATCGGGGCAAAACTTCAATGCAGATGCTCTTGCCATCGCCAGGCGGGCCCTGGGTGCGGGGAAGCCCCGTGTCATTTGCTTCATGTCAAATCATGTCAACCTTACCTTCTGTGCAGCCCTCAGCCCTCAGCCCTCAGCCCTGTTATAATCATTCTCGCCTGGCGAGGAACAACTCGGGGTTTCATGGGGTTGTGTCAAATCTGGAGCTTGGACACTCTTCTTAAGCAGCCCTCTAGAGCCCCAATCGGTCCTTAAAAGTAAAAAAAAACAGCTCTTCTGCTGAGATTCTAAGAAGGACCAAGCCTGCACGGACGGTAAAAAAAGGGGCCCTTAAGCGCCTCAGTATAGCTTCAAACTCCTGGGAGTTGACGCGTGTTGCGGCGAATGGGGCTCCGGGGTGGAGTGTTCCGGGGTGGAGGGGTTCGAACTCGAGCAGAAGATGCAAAGATGATTGAGAACCCCAAAACCCTAAAATAAACCCTTCAGACCCTACATCCGCTTTCCGGAATGTCTATGCAAGCCACCTGAGTCGATGTACTGAAACCCTGTAAGCACAAAACCCCGGCAGGTTCACGTTCTCCACTCAGGGAGAACAAGATTGGGTGTCTCGCTCCGCACACTGGGCGAGCGAGTTCGGGTTAGGGTTTGCAGTCTGGCGATTGTTCTGTTTTTTTTTTTTTTTTTGTGCCTTTTTCGGGTTTTGGGCTTCGGCCCTTCTTCGCAAAGCACGCTCTAGGGCGCAAGGGGGTCAGAACCCCTAGCAGCCCTGGAAGCTAAAAACCTCAACGCTCATGACTCCAGTCCCAAACGATCCCTGAGCTCTGATCACATCCCCTGATTACATCCCAAACCCTTTCAAACCCCTAATAGGCTTTCCGGGTTCCTATTTTTGGAGCTTTGCAAGAGGCTCCCCGTATGAACCGTAGATGGAATGGCCCCCAGCCTCGAGGCTGTTGGCTGCGCTGGCAGCCAGGCGGGCTGTTGGCGTTCCGCAGCCTTCACACACTCGGGCATTCAGCCTAAACCCCATTGATCCCTAATATCCTCCCCAGAACTCTGAACCCCAAACCCTCAACCCTAACCCTGCAAGAACCCCACAAGCCCCCCCCCCCCTCCCCAAGATCGGGGTTTAGGGGTTTACAGGTTGGATGGTTTCGGGTTCCCGAAATACCCTAAACCCCCTATAGTCCCACATGTTGCACGCATATAGGCTAGGGGGAGCGCCTCTTCACACTTTCTGGTGTCAAAGTTTCTTCGCAATAACTCCAGGGGCCTTGTCAGAGCTCTGGGCTCCTGAAGGCCGACCACGTAAGCTGGGTACGCTCTCCACAACAGCCCGCGTGCTGGTTACTGGTTGTGCACGGCGCATCTTTTAACCTTGTAGCTGCTTTAGTGTGTTCACCCCGAAGCTGGTTTTTGCTCTTGTTGAACGGTCCACAGGTGTGATGTGATTGGAAAAGGGAAAAAGGGAGGAGCTTATATGAGTTTAAAGTTTAAAAGGGACAGCGAAGCCCGGCAATTTATTTTAAAGGCGCGCTGCGCGAAATTTCTTCCGACACCCGGCAGACTTGACATAATTGCGAACCCCACCCCAGACCCTCCAAACATGGTTCGGAAGAGCTCGGCAAACTTGACTCAGTTCGGGGGGCCCCCATAAAGCGCATCCAACATCAAACTGCACAACCGAAAAGGGTTGGGTGCTTTTGCTGTGGATTGAAGCCTCCGCGGCAGGTTATCGTCATGAGCGTGACGGGCAGCTCTGTGCGCTACGAACCTCCGTCGAGCTTAGCTAGTGCCCTGAATCCTAAGCACTTGAACCCAGGCAGCCAGCCCTTGAACAGAGAAATGCACTGCCTTAGTTGCAGGCCTAAACTGCGAAAGCGACCCGGGCAAGCCGAGCACAAACTTAAAGATCTTTCATTGCTTTGGGAAGCTCCCCCCCAAAAACGCCCTAAACCCTAAACCCTAAACCCTAAACCCTAAACCCTAAACCCTAAACCCTAAACCCTAAACCCTAAACCCTAAACCCTGAGGCCTAAGCCCTAAACCCTAAACCCTAAACCCTAAACCCTAAACCCTAAACCCTAAGCCCTAAGCCCTAAGCCCTAAGCCCCAAACCCGAAACGCTAAGCCCTACCAAAACCCGAAACCCGAAACCCTAGACCCTAAACCCTAAACCCTAAGCCCTAAAAACCCAAAACCCGAAACCCTAAACCCTAAACCCTTGAGGCCTTGAATGTTTCGAAAGCCCAGGTCCTTGACATGGTGGGCGTCGACGTCCCAGGCGGTGAGGTGACGACTGCCTGGTTGGGACCTCAGAGATTCGATGCTTAGGGTTTAGGGTTTAGGGTTCCGGGTTTGGGGTTTATGGGTTTATGGGTTTATGGGTTTATGGGTTTATGGGTTTATGGGTTTATGGGTTTATGGGTTTATGGGTTTATGGGTTTATGGGTTTATGGGTTTATGGGTTTATGGGTTTATGGGTATATGGGTCCCGGGTAAAGGGTTTGGGGATTAGGGAGCATCTTCATCCTGGCAGTGCTTACAAATCAAGGTTCTGAACCTTGACTGGCAGCTGACAATCTGTATTTAGTTGGGTTAGTTGGGGAATTGGGTCTCGCTGTTTAGGCGTGGGGCTTACGTAGGGTGTTCCACAGGGCCGCGGTCCTGACCCGTGCCATGGAGTGGTCGGGCCGCCTCAGCGCGGTGGATCCCACCCCAGCCACCAAAAGTTAAGGCTTCGTGTGGCTTAGAGCGCGTGAACCCGGGCTTTCATGTTGACACGTGCTGGCGCAGCTTGCTTCAGAGATGTTTTCCTGTGCTTTGAGCCGATTCCACATCCCGCTTTGGATCTCCCCCACCCCTAAACCCTTTTTCCGGAGTCGTGCGGCCAGCCTCTTCAGGCCACTCCCACATCAGGGTTCGTGAGCCGACAGGTTTCGGGCCAGGCGGCGCAGAGGCTTTTCCATCGGGCCTCCTGGACAGGGTCGCGCACGTAGGCTCTTTTTGGGGGACTCCCTCCTCCAAGGCTTTTCCGGCCCGCCACAGTCCGAGACTCCCCCCGGCTTGGGTTGTGCGCCCTTGAGGGCACCACGCTCACGCGCCGAGGTTGTTCGCCGGGGTCGTGCACCAACCCAGAATCGAGCACCAAATCTTTTCTGAGCGAAGCAAGCAGATCTCGAAGTGGTAGAGGGTTTAAGCCCACAGAGTGAGAGATTTTATGGGACCAACGGTGCTTCGAAAGTCTAAGCTGAAGCATTTGTTCGGTGGAGCTTCCTTGGGAGGTCTAAGGGATTGCAAATCGAGATTGCCGAAGTATGTCGGGTTTGAGAAGTCTTGGAGAATCTATATCTTTGGGGGTTTTCCAGCCCTAGAAACATAGAAAAAACCTAAGTGGGTGAGATGATATGAGGATGAAAAGCTCTAGTGAATCTAGGGCTCCCGGGCATACAATTATGATAAAGGGATCCCAATGCGGCCCAACAGTAATCCCGTTCTTTCCTGCGGGTGGACATAGAAATGTTTTAGGGTCTTAGTTAAATTGAACCAGCATCCGAAAACCTTTGTATTCCACTGAGTGTCTATGGTGTTTAAGTTTTGCTTTTGTCGAGGCCCCAGACCCCCAAACCCCTTGCAAGCCCAAAGCCCACAATCCCGTCTGTTAAAGCCGCAAACCAGCCATTCAAAGCCCCAAGCTCTAACAGACTCTAACCCCCCATAACCGAAGACTGTCCTCTGCTACACATGCCGATCCCATCTGTCGCAGCTCCGGGAGGAGTTTCGAAGACCATGTCTACTGCGCGTGCAACGACACTATCTACGAGATCCTCTACGAATTTGTAAGTACCATGGTCGTTACTGCAGGTGTAGGACTTTGAGAAGTTCAGTGGTGGTTCGGGTTGGGCAGGTTTTTTGTGTTCAAAGTTTTGGGCTTAAAGCAGCCCCAAACCCCGTGAAGTCTCCGGCGCTGCCTCCAATGTCTCTGAACTGAGAGCCAGCTGTGAAAGCACGAGTCTGCTGAGGCATCGATCTTCCCACTAACACGGGCACAATAATCGTTGGGCCTGCAGCGGTCGCGATTCGGCTGGATGCTTGAGTGGTGGGGGTTGACTGGGATTCCCGAAGAAGGCAAGCCTCAGCCTGGGCGGTTGGGGGTTTCAAAGAGGGGGGGGGGTTACGCAAGTGTTGATTCTGAGGGCGATTCGTCTTGCAGGGTTCAATGGCGATTTTTAATTATGGGGTTCGGCGGTATAGACCTTGCACAAACAAGTACATACCCAACACACCCTAAATACCCTAAACATCCGTATCGCTCTGGAAAACCTCAGTGGGCAGCTTTTTGGTCAGAGGAGAGACCATCTGAAGCCAAGGTCAACACAAGCCAGACACCCCAGACCAACGACGGCCTCAACTGTCCAGGCGCCACTCCATTTCCAGATGTGCCCCGGCTGCCGCCAAGCCCCATACTTCAGCTCTGAAAAGAAACCTCCCTGTTATCAGGCATCCCCCTCCCCTTTGAGACATCCCGGCGCCCCAAGCCCCAAGCCTTGCAAACACTGTAAGCTCGCTTTCTTGAATGCAGACAAATCTCTTTGCGTCCTAATTCGCTGTGAAAACATAGCACATTGCCTTTAAACCTGGTAGCCCAGTGGTGCCCCAAAAATTGCAACATAACATGGTTACTGGGCTAACGAAGTAAACCCTAAACCCTGAACCCCAAACCCCAAACCCCAAACCCCCAAACCCTAAACCCTGAATCCATTTAGGCCCTACACCCTGGGGTCCACCAAGCCACCGCAAGCCGGGGGTCCATGGATCCGCCGCCAAACACGCCTGAGCCCTAGACGCGAACCCTCGGTCCCCATAAACCCACCATCCGAGACCAGTCCATGCCGAACCCTATGCACTCGAACCCCGCCCCCCCGCCCCCTAAAAAGAAACAAAGAAAAGAAAGGGTAGAAAGTTGCAACCATCAAGCCTCAAACGTATTCAACATTTGCCCTAACTCGTCCTGCAACTCTCAATCAGCGCGCGCGCTCCGCTCAGGTAACCACCACAACAACTACGACCACCACCACACTGCCGCCGCCGCTGCAGCTGTGCCTTGATCTGACTGGGGTGGAGAAGCCTCCGAGTACGTCTCCTATCGCGTGGCAACCTAGTGGTCCTTGTGCCCAAGAATTCAGGAGGCTTTCAGAGTACAGACTTGCATGATTCATCAGATCTAGTAATTAGGGCCCTGTTAGACCCTTTCCGACCCCTAGCCTAAACCCAAAACCCTGTACATCTTCCTAAATCCCAAACCAAAAATAGCACCGAAGGCTTGCGCCCGAAAAGCCCGAAGCCCTCATGAGTCCAAGGTGCAACACCACCGAGACTCGGGCAGCACTCAGTGCTTGGGGCCTGCTTTGGGATCCTGTGTTTTCGGGTTTGCATGTGGGTGGTTGAAGGGTGTATGGGTGCTCTAAGCCCGAAGTACCCAAACTTCTTAACCCTGGGCCACCTCGCGGCTTTTTCTAGTCAGGGTGGCGTTGGTGTTGACAATGGTACGATGGCTCGGATCGTGAACCTGCCTGCACTGGCCGATTCGGAGCCAGATTCAAGCAGCACATGCACGCCCGGCGAGCTCGCACATTGGCGATCTGCGAGCAGTGGTTGGATCACTCAGACCCATGCATGTAGAGGCCACCCCGGAAAATTCAGGAGTTCAAGCCCAGAAGGCTTGGCTTCTCGCCTGATTGTGTGTCCGTGGTGCATAGTTGCATCCCTAGAACCTGTCATCCTATACTCTCCCCCCCAAAACAAGTGAACAAAGCCCTAAAGCCCCCTTAAAGCCCTAAACCCCCTCTCCATGGAAGCCCACCTCGCAGAGGCTTGGAACTGTTCCAACTCGAGCGAGTTCTCGACCTTGGCGCTGCAGGTGATCAACGAGCAGCCCTTCGGCTTGCCAGTCACGGCTTTGCGGTGTTAAGGGGTATGCGAATCAGGTGGTGCTTCTGGGGCTCCGGGCTTGTGGCTCCTTTGAGGGTATGTAGGGAGGCTTCACGGAGAGGGGCTTTGGCTGTTTGCGAAAGGTTGACGTGGGGTTGTCAGGCATCGAGGAAGGGGTGGGCTTATTTGGTTTATGGATGACAAAGTTGATGGGGCCTTGTAGGCGTTTTCAGGCTCTGTGGGGTGTGCGAGCTTTTGGGGTTTTGTTTAGGGCTTAAGGGTGTTACGGGGGCTTGGTTTCGGGAGAGTGGGAGGGGAGGGGGTTTGGGTGCCTTGGGTTGTTTTTGAGCAATATTCATGCCGAGGTATGACCTATTTACTGGAATACCTTCCTGAGCAATGAACAAGACCTTGAAGCGTTGAGCCCAAGAACCAAAATCTGTAATTCGAGAACGTTGTACCTCATCTCCAAATCACTGAACCCCATGGGCTCTTCTCCTCGTTTCTGCCTCCCATCGCGCCGGAGCTGAAAGGATCGATGGCAACTGCATCCGAGGATGGGCTAGGGCTTAGGGTTTAGGGTTTCGGGTTTCGGGTTTAGGGTTTTCGGGCACCCTATTTGTGGTACAACCTCTTCGGGCATGTGTAGTCAACCCCGATAGCACACCATCTGTTGAAGTGAGATGACCGAGGCCTTTGCAACTGCGTTCCGAAACTGGGGTTGTATCCTCATGGAGGGGTTCCTGTAGCAGGATTTTGGTCTGTTCGGGGTACATTCGAGGGTGCCTCCGCCTGTTGTTGCCCTGCCTTTCAAGTCTCTCCACGGCCTGCCGGCCTCAATCCCCACAAAGTGGTCTCCGTGAAAACGATCCCGCCTTCGGCTTGCCCGTGCGGGCTGCCTTTGACGCTGCGTTTGTTTGTGGGGTTCCCCAGCAGCAAGCGGGAGGCTCGCCAAGGCCGCCAGGCCGGAGTTTTGTTCTACGCTTTGCTGGACATCGGCGTTGCACCGGGTATCTGGGACGAAGACGCTCTGTCCCTCCTTGTCGCGGACTGCTGTACAAAGAGCATGAAACCGACATTCGGTCATGACCTGGCCATGCTGCGCGATAGGTTTGTGACAAAGCTTGAGGGCGGCGGCGGTGTTGCGCCGCCCTCGGAAGTAGGTGCACTTTGTGCCGCGCGACCCTCAGAAGTAGGTGGCCAACTCTGCCATGAGCTTCCGCATTCACTGACCTCTGTGACAAACGTACTGGGTCTCGCAGGGCCCTTCAACTTCCCCTTCCTCCGAAAGCCATACAGAGGAACCATCCAGTCGCTGGACGTCACGACGGGCACATATGTGTTCCTCGGACTGGTATGTACTTACCCATAATTGTAAACTCTCCTAACTCCTGTCCCTTTGTTGCTGGATGCAAAAGTAAAGTAGTGTAACGTGATTCGAGGGGGAAACCCGAAGTCAGGGGTTTGACACACTGCTGACGCTTGCGGGCTCCCTCCATCATGCGTAGGGCATGTGCGAGGTCAGGGATTTTGAATGTACGGCTCAGGCGCAGGCTTGTTTCCCAGTCCCGGCACCTGCAATCAAGGCTGATTTGCAAGTTCGAGGGCGAGTGCTTCAACGCCTGTGGCGTGAATCCCTTGGACAACAACATCTACTGCATAACCGAGGCCACTTGAAAGTCTAAACCCGCACCTCAAAACACCATTCCTTGCCGTGCTCTGCGCTCTGTGCGTGTATGCTTCGGCAGCACATGCAGCTGCCTTTCCTGCTTCAGACGAGTGCTGTCAGAACATGTCAGAACTGTCTCAATCCCAACCGAGCCCCTACAAACCCACAGAAGCCCGAGAGGAAGCCGCCAACACTGGAGCGCTGGCCGCAAGCAGCGATTTAAAGCTCAAAGCCCCGAAAGCCCGAAAAGGCCTGAACCCCCAAGCGGGAACAGCAGCCCTGAACAACTTGATCCTTACATGGGGATTGTAGACATCAGGGGTCCGGGATGTTGAGGACGCCTTCCACGAAGACTTCGGGGTTTCGAGCATACCTTTAGCATGCTTCAGCATCCCAAACCATGCATCCAAATCAACCCCCCCCCCCTCCACAGCACGTGAGCCCTGAACACCAAACCTCAGAGAATCTGTGTTCGTTGCGTGGGTGGGCTACTTGCAGGGATCTGAGGTCTGAGGCTCTGGGATTCAGGCCAGGTGTTGGGTGCTTCTTACATGGGCCGAACACCAGCCTTGGTAGCGGACATTCCCAGCATACGCCTGCGTATGCCCTACCTGAACCAAAAGTCTTGGAGTAACGGAGATGCTGTGCCTTGCTGTCGGCAGCACGGCGTCAACGTTTGAGACAGCTGAGCGTGAAAAAGGTAATCTCATCGGGCTACAGGCAGCAGGCTTTTGGTACCTTCTTCCTGCGACTTCCGAGCAGTGCGGGTTTGAAGCTGGAGCACTCCCTGTTGTGAGGGGCTTACAGTAAGTTCAATGTACAAAATCATTGTGAGAAGTAGCAGAGAGTTCATGAACTCACACACTCTGAGACCCCAGTGCCATGTCTTGAACCTGGCCCCCCTTTTCATGGCATCCGGCGAACGTCAATCTCCCAAATTCCGAGGCTTCATTGCCCGCCTTTCATGCCCCACGGACGCCAGCTGCCTGACTCGAACTGTTGCAAAGGTCCATGACAAGGTCCAAGGAGTTCGGAGCCTAAGGGGCTGAATTGGTTCAGCATCCAAGGGTCTAATCCATTTTGCACACGCAGCGCACCGTGTTTTGTCTTTAGGGCTGGCTTCAGCACCGCCCCCAGCTGCATTTTGCCCTTTTTGTTGGTCCCCGTCGCGGCTCTTTAGCGCACTGGTCGACTCAAGAGGAAGAGGGTGAATAGATTGCAGCTGCTGACGCAGCTGCTGAACAGACCCTTCAGTCCTAAGTGACTGAAGGCCTGTAAAGAAGCGCAACATGAAGACTCAATGAAGAGCTCATTCAGCCTTCGTGGCCCCAAGCCTGCGAATCCCTAACTTCCGGTGCTTCATGTGGCCTTCTTTGGTGTTGTCGTCCGTATGTGCTTCTGCAGGGATGAGGACCAAGGGTTTCTCGCATTTAGTATGGATGAAGGGACTGACTAAGCCCTACAGACCTCGTATACCTTCTACCTACGTCTAAGTTGGCGTGGGCGCCGCCGGCTCCACATGCTACGTTGGCGAGCAGCGCTCCTCGGTGTCTGCGGGCTTCAACACAGATGGCCGCTTTGTCTCTTGGCATTGTAGACTGCGAGTCAGCTAGGCTTTCTACGGTTGGCTTTTGGGCTGGTTGGGGTCCTAAACCTTAAACCCTAAACCCTAAACCCTAAACCTATAAACCCTAAAGGGTCAAGCACTGCAAACCACAAGCGCCCCGAAACATTTGCTCTCTTCAGGGTTCTCACCAGCTTCCAGAACCTCAGAGCCAAGATTGAAGGCCTCCAGTCCCAATCTGGGTACCTATTCTGAAGGCCCCTTATAAGGGAGGATGCCACGCTATTTGTGGCATAGAAGGGTAATTACCACTATATTGGAAGTTGAACACGCATGTGCACATCCGTCAGCACGTCAAGCACAGCTTGGACATACTGTAGGGCTCCCATACCCGACGGTCAGGACTCTGGATCACGCTCCGAATCTGCGTGCTGGGGTGGCACTTTTCACAATGCCTAAACCCCAAAAGGCCTCACAACCTAAGTACCCTTTGGCGCAAATCTGCAAACTTGTTGGATCTTGCTCGGGTTACACAAGGTGGTGGGGAGTTGGCGGTGGTCCCCAACCCCTGAGGTGTTCATCGCAGATGAAGGTGGGCTCTTCTATCAAGACGGCGCGGGCGCCCAGACTTTACGAACCCCCCCATAAAATCTCTCCAAACATGACGAGACCCCCGAACCTTATGTAGTGCCTTGGAGCCAAAATTTCTTGTCACGCCCGATCCCAGAGTCCGACACCCCAACCCTAAACCCTAAACCCGAAACCCTAAACCCTAAACCCTAAACCTTAAACCCTAAAACCTAAACCCTAAACCCTAAACCCTAAACCCTAAACCCTGTGTGTTTCTTGACCATGCTCAGTTTCGACCAGTCATGCAGGGTTTGGTGGAGGAAGGTGGTGGAGGTGACAGAGATGGGCTCGTTGGCACGCCTAGACGTGGGCGCGTGACATGATCATGCACAGGGAGTACTGAGGGGCATTGCTTTCCGGTTTCGTAACCTACCCTAGCTGTAAGCTCGCCCGAAAAGGAGTGAAGGGTTGTTAAAAAAAAACCCTAAACCCTAAACCCTAGGAAGCCTAAGAGGACTCGACCAGCTACCGGCCTACGATCGGCGCCCCATCCCGTCGGACAACGTCTCCTACGACCTCCGCCCCTTGGCACTTCGGAGCTTGTGCGGTCTAAAAGGGTCTATTACTACTACTACTACTACTACTATTATTATTATTACTATTGCTATTTACTAAAACTATTATTACTGCTATTATTATTATTGCTATTACTATTGCTATTGCTAATTACTATTACTATTAGTATTAGTATTACGATTACTATTACAATTACAATTACAATTACTATTACTATTAATATTATGATTATAATTATTCTGATTATGATTAATATGACTATTATTAACTAGTACGATTATGGTAGTCTCCAGAACTCGTGGATTTCGGAAAGCTCGGGGTTGAGGGTTGGGGGTTTTGGGGGTTCATAGGTGGATGGGTCGTCGGGCCCGTCCGTTTCCTTGTTGGAACGCCTTGCTGGTTTCGGCTGGCCCCCGTTTCTGGGGCGTTGCTTTTTGTTCTGCTTGCACCTTTGAGGGGCCCAATCGAAGACCAAGAAGTCAGAGTCTGGAGTGCTCCGACGCCTCAGCAGCCTCATCACTCTTGCGCCCCGAACCCCCAAACCCTCAATGTCCCCAACCCCCAATCCCAACCTTTCAGCCCTTCAGCCCAATCCAAAAATGTCTCCACACCCACAGCTACGTCCCGAGGCCCACTTGCCCAGAATGTGACGAACCCGAACCAAGAGACGCAGATCAACGGCTTCGATCTGACTGTCCGGGAGCCCCCCGGATGCTGAACGGACAGCGTGGCCGCTGTGGGCTTTTTTGCTTAGCTTGCTGAAGGGTTGCCATTCGAAGGAAATGTGGACCTGGTGCGCGGGTGCCGTACTGTTAAAGAGGCCCAGGTTCGCACACGAAAAGTGGTGTGGTAGAGGTCCCTCACTTGGGAGTGCCTCCATTTTCGGGAGGTCCAAAGATTTACATACTCATACTTGCCGCTGCAAAACCCATTGCGGAGCTCTTGGTAACCCACCCCAAGGGGATTTCGGGAGCTGAGGTGTTTAGGGCTTAGGGTTTGGGGTTCGGGAAGAATCGCCGTGATGCTTTCAGACGCACAGCTTCATGCTCAACTCTCAGCCCGTGCCTGTCACAGCTCCCAACCCCCTTCAACCCTACTCTGAGTAACCCGCTGAAGCAGCAGACTTGACCCCTCCCAGCGTGGACCTGGGTGGTGGAACCGGCCTTCAAAATTACAGCATCTCGTGCAACGAGAATTACGCCGCTCGCCCGCAGAAGAGCTTTGGGGTCAGCCAGGAGTCTTCGAAGCCGCCCCAAACCAGGCGGAAGAGCCCCTCAACTACAAACCCCCCAGAACATGTCAACCTTAAGCTATCTTAAGCTGCAAAGCCTTAACCCATGACCTCCCTCCCACAGAACCCCACCCCCCCCCCTCCTTCTCAGGAAGTTCTAGGGTTCAGAGTTCCTTGATGTCGGGGAATGTTGGTTTCCTGGGGCGAAGCACTCTGTGAGAAAGACTTCCACTTTTCAGCGGCCCGCGGGTCAATGTTGGAGGTGTCAAAGATTCCCTCGAACTCCCCACTCCCCGCACCCTAAACGCTCCCTCCCGCCTCCACACAGCGAAGGTCATGTTCCAGTCCTTGGAGTCACTTGGCTGCAGATGCCGTAAAGCTTTTGCAGGACTCGGACTTCACAAAGGCCAGGAGATTCAAAGTTTGAGCAAGTTCGGGAAGCTTAGACCCTAAGCCCTGGCGCCCGGGCTGTGTATGGCTTCTCGTCATGCGTCCTCGACCTACGCTTACCACCGAAAAACATCGAAAAACACTGTAAATCTTCAGCCCCTCAGCCTGAAAGGCCCCTATGAGCTTTGTTGGCCCTGCAAGACCCCAGGGTGCCCAGCAACTTCTTCAACTTGACGATGGTCGGCGTGAATCCTCAGGGCATCGCGGGCCGGAGCCCTTGTGAAGGGTGTTGAGGGGGTGGGGTTGGGGTGGGGGGTGGGTGAAGTTTCTGGGCAGGCAGGAAGAGCAACAACGTAGGGGAACTTGGGGGGGGGGGGGGTTGTCTCTCTTGCAAACCCTCAAACCTTCAAGATCAAAGTCTAAACTGGCTAAACAGCACACCCGGAACCCCCCCCCAACACCGTAAGCCGGGGCGCGTAGCAATAGGATCTTTTAGGGTCGCCTTGAACGCTATCGCCAACCCAACTCCACGGCCTACAGTGCCACTTTGGGGGGAGAACCTTTCTTTGCTGGCCCCAACCGACCTCACACCCTACCACCCTACCACCCTAACACCCCAACACCCGAAGAGCCCTGGGCCCAACTGCTCCTCAGGCGCCCAGTGGGAGTTTGAAGGC